TATATATAGCATGCATAATATATACCATACATACTATCTAAAGCATATACAGGTGAAGTAATCCCGATTAGAATATCGTGCAAAGTTCATTTATTTCACTAATGCAACTTAAAAGGTGAAACTAATATATGAGATAAACTCATTACATGCAAAGCAAGATAATTCAAGCCGTGATTTGTCATAATTGTGATGATTATGGCTTACAGCTCATGAAAACCCCAAGAACCCCAAATCCACAACCTCAAAAAAGTAGATTATTGCATGCAATCAATAAAACAAGGATTGTACATAGAACAATATCGGACCTCTGAAAAGTACAAGCATGCATATGTACTCAGTACTTGGTTTGGGCCCCTTTTGCAGCACTTACTGCAATTACTTTTGCACGATATTCTAATTATTCGAGTTTTAACCTGTATACTTTTTTTTGCACGTATGCGCCCCCATTCAACCGGCCCTTTGAGGGTAACCATACTGCTGATGCGGCCCCCGATGAATTTGAGTTTGCCACCCCTGCTATAGACGATGAATATATACTGTAGATCCTATAAAACCTAAACCAAACTTCAGGCACACTACATCTTCGTCCACACTACACCCACAGCCTGCTAATAGGATAACAAAGGAGGAACAGCACAATTATTAGTCATTCATCACTCTGCTGTCTCCTCCTGCCAGTATGTTCCTTATCAGCAGATGTACTTTGCAGCAGAAGATCGTTGATTTTAGTGCATTCTCTCCCTCTGCCACTCGGAGTGCTTTCCCCGTTCAATGTTAATCATGTGACCAGAGGCCTCAACATTTGCTCATGCGATCAGTCACTATGGGATCCTAGAGTAGCAGTTTCTCCAGTTAGGTAAGTATTTCAGGATTTATAGTTTTAAAGCTATAACTGTTTGATGAAATGTCTTTGCCGCTGATACATTTGACTGCTTGTCAGTTAATTTGAACTTGCTGCTAATGAGACTGTCAGCATGAAGATAAAGTGAACCTGTAGTGTGCCCATTAACGTGGTCACGTGTTGTAATGCCCATTGGCTAAGATCAAGTGTAGCATCTGTTCCTATCAGTTGCAGGAGGGGAAAGGAGCCGCTGTACTGGCCTTATGGCTGGAATCTGAGTACCCTGCCTGGTGATGAGGGTTCCTAAAAGGTCCTGACTATGGGGAGAAAATTGAAGTAAGCGTCCACTCAGGTATAGAGTGTTGGTCGGGAGTACTCCTCGGGTGCTGGGATCTGGCAGGGCTAAATTCCTCCTGATTTGGACGTGTCTACCTTGTCTGGCCATGGGCTTGGAAGGCACGAAAACTGTGGTGTTCAAGCCCCCTGGAGTGGTGACCCCACTGTGTGAACGGCACTTTGGCCACAACACCTTTTGCTGCACATCACATCTTGGACCTCTTGGGCTAGGCTTTTGGGGTGAGACCAGGGGTAAGTTTTATTACCGGGCTGCAAGGCCTAGCCATTGTCTAGTACACTGGCACTCTAAATTATCGTGGGCTTAGGGCAAAGACATAACAACAGCACAGGGAGATTCTCCAGAAACTTGGAGTATGCTATAGGTGCTGTGCTTCCGTAAATAATTTTGCTAAAGACTGTAAAGTTGTCATCAAGTGCACAGAATGCAGTGGTGACAAACATGTTACAGCCATACATCCTGGCCCACCTTCAGACAATCCACAGCAGCCTCCTACTTCAAGCCCTGTTTCAAATCATAGCGGGGAGCAGCAAAGTCATGCTCCAGCCACAACAAGTGTTTCTTCCTCATGTACTGTAATCTGTGGGGAGAGCCATGGGCAACCACCTGCAACAGTCACATCAAAATGCAGTGAACTACTTCACAAAGGACTTTGGGGAAAAACTCTTGCAAAAATATGTCTTTTATGTCAAGGTGTTTCGCCAAGGACAAATGAAAAAGCAATTACGATGTATGCAGTCTTAGATGACCAAAGCAGTCACTCACTTACCATGTCAGAGTTCTTTGACGTATTCTGCATAAAGGGTAACGTGCGATCCTATATATTGCACACCTGTGCTGGTTCAGTGCAACTCACAGGAAGAGCCACCTATGCTGAATTCATAATTTCTCCTATAAAAGGAACTGAGAGAATTGATCTTCCTCAGATCATCGAGTGCAATCAGTTGCCTAATGACAGGGAGGACATTTCTACACCAGAGGATGCACTTCGTGAACCTCACTGAAGACATTTAGCTGACTGCATCCCACCACTTGACTACGATGCGAAAATTATGCTTCTCTTAGGTAGAGACGTCCTGAGAGTACACAAGGTACCGGGTACGTCAGCACCACAATGGGTGGAATGACGCTCCTACTGACCACCAACGTAAGGGAGCATTCTTCTTCCTACTGACCACCAACGTAAGGGAGCATTCTTCTTCCTACTGACCACCGACCTAAGGGAGCATTCTTCTTCCTGCTGACCACCGACCTAAGGGAGCATTCTTCTTTCTGCTGACCACCAATGTAAGGGAGCATTCTTCTTCCTACTGACCACCAATGTAAGGGAGCATTCTTCCTCCTACTGACCACCAATGTAAGGGAGCATTCTTCCTCCTACTGACCACCAATGTAAGGGGACATTCTTCCTCCTACTGACCACCAATGTAACGGAGCATTCTTCCTCCTACTGACCACCAATGTAAGGGGCATTCTTCCTCCTACTGACCACCAATGTAAGGGGCATTCTTCCTCCTACTGACCACCAATGTAAGGGGCATTCTTCCTCCTACTGACCACCAATGTAAGGGGCATTCTTCCTCCTACTGACCACCAATGTAAGAGAGCATTCTTCCTCCTACTAACCACCAATGTAAGGGACATTCTTCTTTCTGCTGACCACCCATGGTAGGGGACATTCTTCCTCCTACTGACCACAAATGTAAGGGAGCATTCTTCTTCCTACTCACCACAAATGTAAGGGAGCATTCTTCTTCCTACTGACCACCAATGTAAGGGGCATTCTTCCTCCTACTGACCACCAATGTAAGGGGCATTCTTCCTCCTACTGACCTCCAATGTAAGGGGCATTCTTCCTCCTACTGACCACCAATGTAAGGGGCATTCTTCCTCCTACTGACCACCAATGTAAGGGGCATTCTTCTTTCTGCTGACCACCAATGTAAGGGGACATTATTTCTCCTACTGACCACCAATGCAAGGGGCATTCTTCTTTCTGCTGACCACCATTGTAAGGGGACATTCTTCCCCCTACTGACCATCAATGCAAGGGGCATTCTTCTTTCTGCTGACCATCAATGTAAGGGGCATTCTTTCTCCTACTGACCACAAATGTAAGGGGCATTCTTCTTCCTACTGACCACCAATGTAAGGGAGCATTCTTTCTCATACTGACCACAAATGTAAGGGGCATTCTTCTTCCTACTGACCACCAATGTAAGGGTCATTCTTCTTCCTACTGACCACCAATGTAAGGGGCATTCTTCCTCCTACTGACCACCAATGTAAGGGGCATTCTTCCTCCTACTGACCACCAATGTAAGGTGCATTCTTCCTCCTACTATCCACCAGTGTAAGGGGCATTCTTCTTTCTGCTGACCACCAATGTAAGGGGACATTCTTCCTCCTACTGACCACCAATGTAAGGGGACATTCTTCCTTCTACTGACCACCAATGTAAGGGGCATTCTTCTTTCCACTGACCACCACTGACCGGCTTCTTGAATGCGGGTGGGCGTTTTTAAACGTCCCATCCCGCCCCCCGCTCGGCTTTGAATGTAAACAGCCTGCGATGGCTGTTTACATACAAGCGTTCAGGCGTCTGTAGAGACGCCCGATCGCTTGTAATATGCTTGCGGGTGTGGGGCCCCCCCTCCGTCGCAGTCGGCGATCTTGAGCTCTGCTGTTCCCGGTGTGAGCCCGGGACCAGCACAGCAGCTCTGCGGCCGGAGGTCAAACGGAGGTTAGTACACGATCTCCGTTTGACCTCCTCGTCGGAATTCAGGAAGTGATCTGTATTGTCATTCTCCGGTACAGAATCCGGAGAGAAGCTGGTGAAGCAGGTCTCTGCTTCATCAGCTTCTCTGGGGGTCCCTGGGAGACATTAGGGGTCTTAAAGACCCCTGATGTCTCCATAAAGAGGACCTGTCACTGCAAATTGGCTATCACATAGGGAGTTTGTTTGCTCCCTATGTGATAGCAATAAAGTTAAGTGAAATAAAAAAGGTTTAAAAAAATGTAAAGCCTACGCGCGAAAACGACGGTTACATTCATTGCGCCGCACTTGTTACATATCGCCATGAACGTCGGAGTGAGAGGAATAATTCTAGGGCCATCAATCACTGATGACACTAAACTAATGAGCGGTAAAAGCTTTTAAAGCGTCGGCTATGGTCAATGTTTGATGGTGCGTGCAATTTTAAAGCTTGACATGTTTGGTGTCTATTTACCCGACGTCACCCCGTCTTTTATATTTTACCAAAAAATTGTGTAATCATAAATGTTTTATAACATAACATAACGTAGGGAGAACAGTTGTTTTTCAAAATTTTCGGTACTTTTTTCATTATATAGTTAAAAAAAAAAAAGCAAGTGGATAAGGCAGAGGTAGGCAACTGAGCAGTCCAGTTGTGCTGAAACTACAAATGTCTGTAGAGTTCAAAGTCTTGCAGCGTCTCCTGGGACTTGCAGTTCCACAGCAGCTGTGCCAAGGTTGCCTACCCCTGGTCTGAGTTATTGCCCTTATATGATACCATGACGGGTGTAGAAAGCACTTTGCATTCTGCAGTGCACACATGGTGGCCAGGTCAGATGTTCCAGGCTTCGGGGACGAGCACAGACATCTGCTGTGCAGCTACACACCCCCTGTGCACACACCTGTCCCCCATTGCCGCCCACACATAGGCACCACCCCCTCTACCCTCCCCACGCCATTTGCCTGCGTTGGGCTCCCAGCGTGCATCGCGCGCCCGTGCCAACACAGGACGCCGCGCTGTTGCTGCGGGCCGTCACGTGACGCGGAAGTCTTCCTCCTGTCATCGGGGAAAGATGGCGGCGCTCTGTGATAGCTACCGGCTGCTGCTTTGTGTTGTGGTGCTGGCGCTGGGGGCGAGAGCGCACTATACAGAGGTGGGTGATGGCGCCTAAGGGAACCTTAATTTTGTATTGAGGGTCTGTACTGAGAGGGGGGAATCTGCACTTGGATTGGTATTGAGGTAGTAGGCTTGGTTGGGAGAGGTGGTGGCCTGGGATGGGGTCTGCACTATGGAAATGGACTGGGGTTAGGGAGAAGGGCTAGGTCTGTTCTGGCGGGGTGCACTGGGGCTGTATTGAGGGCATGAGCTTGGACTGGGGGGTTTGTATTGGGGGGTGCATGTGTGCTTGTATCCCTGTGAATTACGCACTCTGGCCCCTTGCACGTGGTGCGCCGCATACTACTGCCCCCTCCCCGCAGTCTTTCACTACTTAATACTGACCCCCGCATGTGGTGAGCCGCATACTACTGACCCCCACACTATCTGCGTTCCGTACTGTTGACCCCCCGCACTGTCTGCATTATGTGTTACTGACCCCCGCACTATGTCTGCATTATGTGCTACTGACCCCCGCACTATGTCTGCATAATGCCTTCTTCAGCTAAAAAAGGGGGGGAACTACTAATGTCCAATATCCAATCATAGGCAGGTGAGGGAGACAGAGAAGGGCTTGTCTGCTCTAGGAAATGTCAGAATTGGCACATTAGAGCCTTCTGATAATAATAAAGATAATTGATGTTTTGTGCTGGCACCTTCAGCTGCCTGTTTTGTAGTCACAGCGCTTCTTTAGTACACGTGAGGAGCTGATCAGTGTATTTTATTATAATGAGATGATTTCATTTGCAGTCAATGTAATGTTTTTCTTTTTTTGTAATTCCAGAGTAAGGCCGAGCAATTCTTCAGGAGCGGACACACAAACAACTGGGCGGTTTTAGTGAGTATCCTCTGCTTTGTGTTACACTGCAATAAGTATGTCCGGGTACCCACCAACAGGATAAGGCAGAGGTTCTGATTTAGGAAACCTCTCAAAAGACAAACAAGAAGCTTGATGTAACTGACCTTTCCTTCTCCAATTTCTAGTTGAGAACCTGTCATGCTGATCCCCTTGCTTTAGCACTTGGAGACACTGCCTTGAAACAAGTATGCTGATGAGGTGTTCTTCCTTTGATCATGTGTATGCTTGGTCAGGTCATGGCTGGAGTTGAGTCCAGAAGGTTAGAACTGCAGTCAGGCAGCTTACATTTTCTGGAGATGGTGAACAGTGATACCCCATTAATTATTTTTGAAATGGGCTTCCATGCCGTCTGTGAGGAAGCTTAGTTTGGGTGTCATTGGACCAATGATCCCAAGCATACCTCAAATTCCACCAAGGCTTGGCTGCAGAAGAAGTCCTGGAAGACTCTACCATGGCCATCACAGTCACGTGACTTCAACCCCATAGGAAGTCTCTGGGATTTGAGAGCAAGAATATTAGTGAACTGAATGCCATGGCTCACGAGGAATGGACTAAGATTCCTCAGGAACGCTGACAGAAGCTGATGTTTGGCTATACATCTCCTTTGCAGCACGTCATAACAGCAAAAGGGGGCTCTACTAAGTACTAAAGCTGCTTGCCATGAAGGGGTTGAATCATTTTGAGACTACAGAAGTCTTTAAAAGTTGCATTTTTAGTTGAATTTGGGGAACCACTAGAAACATTCGTTGTGTTGACCTACTTCAATTGCTTTTGTTTGATTTGTTCAATGAAAACAGTGCAAGTCTGTCAATTTTGCCAATAAACCTGAATTGCAATGGGGGTTGAATAATTTTGGTTACGACTGCAGGGGCAGCATTCTATCTGTGAGTTTGATCCATTTCCTCTTTGTGGGTCAGCCTCGTTGATTCCACTTAAACAGGATGCGTTTCTTTGCATAGAAGAGTAACAGGTTCATTAACAAATGTTCATTGTTATTTACTGGGTGCGGGATAATATTATCCCAGCAGCACCAGTCTATATTACTGTGTTTACAAGGTTGATTTTTGTTATTTTTTTTATTTGTTTGCATTCTGGCCGGGAATTTATAGGTCCTATATAGGAACTTCGCTTATGTCATCTGTGGTTGATGTTATAGTGCTGCTTAGTATCTCTAGTGTCTCCTGCCATCCACTTCCTTTAGAATGTAGTATATCGCCATGTTTAAAAGCGGTATTGTAGTCGGGGGACAGGCTTGGTCAGCATGATAACAGGTTTGCTCAATTTTTGAATCTAATTCAAAGGTTACTCCAGCAGTAAGGGGCCTGTACATGGGTAGCATGCTGAATTAGCAGATACGTAAACTGCATTTTGTTGCCTTTTTTTCCTGCACATTAAATGTTAGTATATAGCGTATAATTATTGCCAGCTTGATTTCCTGGATCAGGTTGGTAAAGGATGGCATTATATTAGAACTTCTGGGTGCCTGTCTTCCTTGTTGGAGATCAGTCCATACATTGTTATCAGTCAATGTGCTGGTTCTGTTGGTGGCTGTTGGGGTTTCTTCATATCCCAGGTGGAATATCTGTGGATGCAGTATTCATTGTTGGACTATTAAGGCCCAGGATGAGTGAACCCTTCCTTTTTCTCTTTATTTGTTTTCATTGTACCCTGAATAAAGATGGCGTCGTGTCTTTAAATCTATACAGAAGCATAGTTACATAGTATTTGAGGTTGAATAAAGACATTAGTCCATCAAGTCCAACCTATTAGGATCTCATTCTAGGAGTACTTGTACCCCTGTATATTACGGTCCTTGTGCAATTTCACAAAACAAAAAATAAAGTGGGGGGCATTTTTTTTTTCATATTAAATGTTTGTTAAAGATTTTCAAAATATAACAAAAAACACACATACAATACAGTAAGCATACATTAAGACAATCACATTACATACGATATCAAAGGTAAAAGGGGGGACAAGAGACATAGGGGTACAGGGGGGGAGGGTTGGTCCCCTGGTCGGGGCGCAATATGGGGGGCATTTATCCAAATTGGAGCAGCCCATGAGAACCAATCGGCTCCTCTCTTCAGTTTAAGATTTTAAAATGAAACCGAGAAGCTGATTGGTTGCTATGCACAGCTGCTCCAGATTTTGTCTGCTCCAGTTTTGATAAGTTCTCCTCACTGTGTTTGGAAAATTTGAATTTTTATCACCATACTGCTACATGTTTCGTTCTGCACATTTAATTGCTTGTAACTCTTTTATATATACAAATTAATAAACAAATTGAGATAGGTTTCTCAGGCATGTTTACACTTATTTTAAATCTTGCCCTGCAGCTGATATTTTCCATTAATTGGCATAACTATGTAATGCAAAGTAAGGCAGTTATGATGTAAATAAATGTTTTAGAACTGGCATCAGTGATTGTGTCAGGATGAAAGTCCAGGTGACTAGGAAACAGTATGACATCTAAAACTTTCCAACAAGGCTTTGGCTAATGTTCCCCTGTTGGGGCCACATCCTCATAAAGCATGCTTCCTTTATTTAGCATATGAGTGTTTAAAATGTGATCTGCGGGATAAAATTAAAGCCCAGCAACATTGAAATTTTTCAACCATGACACACTGACCTAGGATGCTGCATCATCACCTTTATTGTACATGCAGCATGGTTCTTATCTGGGTTTAGGTCTCTCCATTGATACAGATAATTGGAGACTGTATTATATTTTTCTTTCCGTATTGGTCTACATAAAGGCAAAAGTAAAACTGTCCTGCTATCTCCTTGGGACCCCCATTCAACAAAGTCATTTTTTTTTTCAGGTGTAAACCCTATCACAGAAATGTTAATGTATTTTATGTATGACCAGATACTTCATAATTCTGATGGCCAGATTATCGTAAGGTGTGGGGAAGCCGTGCTACCTCCTACTACTGTAAGGTTGCACGACTTTTAACTTACGAACATGTTCAAAAACCCGCCGAGCATCGTACGATGTTCGGCGGGTGTGTAGCATGTTCGTACGATAAAAGTCGGACGGGCCGGTGGGCGCAAGCGCACACTGCCCGTTCAGCATTGCGGTCATCGGAAACGCCCACCCCTCGGGGCGCGGCTTGCGATCATCGCAAGTACGATCTGCCTGTCCAAGAAAGGCAGATCGTACGGTGTTTTTTTTTAGTAGCTTACAACCATCGCAAGACAAAAGTCTTGCGATGGTTGTAAGGTGTGTGCCCAGCCTTACTCAAGCTATTGAAGGAAAAATATTTTTAGGGTGGCTTCTGGTAGTTAATGGTTTTCTTGATTTTCTTTCACACTATCTCATTTTTCTGTGCTATTCATTCCTTTCCCCTTATGCTTTGTGTTTTTCCTTTGATTCTGCTGAGTACATATCAAAAGTTATTTTTAGGGGACTCACAATGTTGACATTTAAAGGAGCTGTAATAGCTGTGATCTCCAGTTACATCTCTAGCATTCTCCTGTAATGTGCCTTCAGTCTCCTGAAGCTTTCCCCAGTCTCCAACAACTCCTACACGATGATTGCAGTTTCTGACCATCTCCTGTTGCATGCCTTCAGTCCTTGACTGCTTTCTGTAGCATTGCATTCACCGAATATCATAAGCGGCCCTTTGGTGATGTAAGGGGCCACACTTGAGGCTCGCTATATCAAGTAAGTTGACTACCGATTGTTCAGAGGGTATATTGTCTGCTAGAGATAATTATTAGTATACAGTCACAATGTGGGTTTTGTAACCATTTGAATACCATTAAGGCATAATCCATTTGACCTCCTGTTCCCTGTACATCGTATTTGCTTTTTTCAAAATTCCCCACCTGATCTCTGACCTGTTTTCAAACCTTTTGGACAGCAATGCAGTGACACATACACACATCACACAGCTATAACATATGTGTGCCAACAGCCTGGCTGAGGGCTATAACTCAGTAGTCCAGAGTGCCGTAGGTGGTGGAGCCATGACTGTCTGTCCACTGACTTCTAGGTTGACTGAGGTTGGGCAGCAGCTATTGGACCCGGCAGACAGTGCCTAGAACAGTGGTTCTCAACCTTTCTAGGGCCGGGACCCCTTGATAACATTTGCCAAGTTGTGGTGGCGCCCCAACGGTAAAATTTAGGGATGACGCGGCTGCTGCAGCGACATATGGCGGAGTGGCCGGAGAACTGACACTGCTGCGCTAGGAGAGGGCTGAGGAGGACTCTCATATAGCACGGCAGAAATCGCACAGCGACCCGCAGGTTGAGAACCACTGGCAAACGCCGTCAGAATAAATTTAGGTTGTCACCTGTGCAATAATCCATCCGTGACATTTCCTTGCTACTAAATATTCCACGGTCACCTGTTAGTGGTATTATAACAAAGTGGAAGCAACTGGGAAAAACAGCAACTCAGCCACGATGTGGAAGGCCACGTAAAATGACAGCGCGGGGTCAGCGCATGCAGAAGTGCGCAGAAGTCGCCAATTGTCTGCAGAGTCAATAGCTACAGACCTCCAAACTTCGTGTGGCCTTCAGATTGGCACAACAACAGTGCATAGAGAGCTTCATGGAATGGGTTTCCATGGCCGAGCAGCTGCATCCAAGCCTTACATCACCGAGTGCAATGCAAAGTGTTGGATGCAGTGGTGTCAAGCACGTCGCTACTGGACTCTAGAGAAGTGGAGACGTGTTCTCTGGAGTGACGAATCACGCTTCTCGGTCTGGCAATCTGATGGACGTGTCTGGGTTTGCCGTTTGCCAGGAGAACGGTACTTGCCTGACTGCATTGTGCCAAGTGTAATGTTTGGTGGAGGGGGGATTATGGTGTGGGGTTGTATTTCAGGGCTTGGCCCCTCAATTCCAGTGAAGGGAACTCTTAAGGCATCAGCACACCAAGACATTTCGGACAATTTCATGCTCCCAACTTTGTGGGAACAATTTGGGGGTGGCCTCTTCCTGTTCCAACATGACTGCCCACCAGTGCACAAAGCAAAGTCCATAACGACATGGATGAGTGAGTTTGGGGTGAAGGAACTTGACTGGGCTGCACAGAGTCCTGACCTCGACCCGATAGAACACCTTTGGGATGAATTAGAGCGGAAACTGCGAACCAGGCCTTCTCGTCCAACATCATCAGTACCTGACCTCACAAATGGTCAAACATTCCCATAGACGCACTCCTAAACCTTGTACACGCCTTCCCAGAAGAGTTGAAGCTGTTCTAGCCTGAAAGGGTGTGCTAACTCAATATTGAACCCTCCGGACTAAGACTGGGATGCCATTAAAGTTCATGTGCGTGTAAAGGCAGGCGTCCCAATACTTTTGTCAATATAGTGTCTGTGTATGTATGTATATAGCTTTACATTCACGCAATCGAGCGTCTCAAAACGCCCGATCGCTTGTATTACCAACAGCTGTCACTGCCGGTGCCAGTCCCGAGATCCGCTGTGCCCGATGCGGCCGGGACCGGCACGGCTCTGTGACAGGAGATCAAGGAGAGATCAGTTCACGATCTACTCTCCAGTCCCGGAAGGCAGGAAGTGATGTTTTTTAAGTTTTCCGCCCCCAACATACACATACAGATATGCGTTGGGTGCGCCTGCGTGCGAAAACAATGATTGCGCATATTGTGACGCACATGTTACATATAACCGCAAACGTCGGAATGAGAGCAATAATTTTAAGGCCATTAATTACTGATGACACTAAACTGATGAGCGGTAAAAGCGTTTTAAGCGTCGCCTATGGTCAATTTTCAGTATGGTCGTTTTTTTGCGATTTTGCAGGCGCATGCAATTTTAAGGCTTGACACTAGACGTGACCCCAACTTTTATGTTTTACCGAAAATATGGGTAAGAATAGATGTTTTTAACATAACGTAGGGAAACTTTTTTTTTTTTTTTTTTATTTACTGTACTTTCATTATGTAGTAAAAAATAACCCCCCCCCAAAAGAAAGCTCTATCTGTCCCCAAAAAATGTTAACATAAATTGCAAGGCTATAGTCCGGTCATGCTGACTGGTGACATTTTTGACTGACTGACTGGTGAGACACCCTAAAATGTTTCAAGCCCTGTGTAATGTGTGTATGTATATAGATATAGATATACACTGAGTGGCCAGATTATTATGACCACTCCATCAGTACTTCGTTGGGCCGCCTCGTGACTCCTATAATGAGCTGTAATTGTTTAGTCAATTAATTTTTCCCTCTTTCTAGGTCTGTACCTCTCGATTCTGGTTTAATTATCGTCATGTAGCAAATACACTCTCGGTTTATAGAAGTGTGAAAAGACTTGGAATCCCTGACAGGTAAGATTTTTTTTTTCTTTCCAATTAACACTCTATTATTGTAAATATTTCTGCTCTTTGCCCTCCCTTGCTGCTTTAACAAGAGAGGTCTGCCAGAATTCATTGTTGTTTGTAATGATTGGGGAATGTTGGCTTATCTAAAGCGTGATATTGAATGCTCCTGACTGTCGTTGCACTTGTTATTGCATCCGGAGGTTATTCAATGTGCTAAGAATTTTCTGAGACTCATTCATCGAATCATCGGGCAAATATTGTGCTGGGTTCAATAGTTGTGTCGGTGCGGGTGAGAACAGGCAAATCTCTCACCTCCTGTTCTTGGTGAGCTATATGCCTGACTAGATCCAGGCTAGCGTAGAAAATTCTTTTTTTTTTTTTTTTTTCTTCTTCACAGCTGTCCTTCTTCTTCTTCTTCTTTTTTTTTTTTACATTCGAACAGACACAATGGTGATACAAAGAAGATAATACAAACAGGGTTGCATGGGAGCCAGAATTTTACAAAGCAGGTGTTGTAAAGGAGTACAAATTGTCTCAATGTGAGTCAGTGGGAGATATAGACCACGTGTGTATTACAATAGCATTAACAATTAAACTATTGCAAAGAAAGACAAAAAAAAACAACAATCCTGTATGCATGCTGCTCAATTATCTTTAAAGGAGAACTGGGGAAAAGCCCTGACCCCATATAGTTCTCCGAAGGGTAACGGGAGGACACAAACTAGCGTCCTCCCGTTACCCAAAGCTCAGTATACCGCGAGCGGCAGCTCGCGGTATTCTGAGACGCAGCAGCTGAAATGGATCCCGACTATTATGTCTGGATCGGCCCAGCTGCGTGAGTGACAGCTGGCTCTTCCTATCTAGAGGCAGAGCCACTGTACCAGCCCCTTCCCCGTCCGATCCGCCAGTCAGCGCTAGAGGATCGGACAGGGGAGGGGAGAATCCAGTCCCTCCCCTGTCACGGATCTCTGCAGTGACAGGATCGAGAATGAGCGAGCGCCGGTATGTGTGCGCTCACTTCCCGATCTACTGAGCTGACCTGTGACAGTTTCTTTGTCACAGGTCGGCTCAGATTATGAGGCTGAGTGACAAGCACTCGCCTCATAATTCTCCTTTTTTTAATGTAAAAAAAAAAGCCATTTGCACATTGTCTAAACAAAGAGCTTTAAAGTAATAGGGTTCAGCTAAGTGTCTGCTGTTAATGGGTTACAAGTGGAAAGTCTAGATGTCCATCTGTCCCAGATTTCGTTGTATATAGTGGGCCATCCCTTGTGTTTGTACACTAAGGGGGTTATTCACAAAGCTAGCCAAAGAATCGTCCATAACCGGCTCCGCCCAGTTTTTTATTGTCTGGGACCTGCTCGAGGACTTTAGCAGGTCCTGGCCAATAGGAAACAGTTGGGCGGAGCTGGCTGTCACTGCTAGCTCCACCCAATTGTTTGTGGGTTTTAAAAAATAGTTTTTTTGTAAATCTTTATTATTTAAATGTATTATTTATTTACATAAAAAAAAAAAATTCTACTTTTTTTACTATTCTGCTCGATACCACGGAGGTATAGATCGGTTGATTTCTTGCTGGTGTTTAAAGATTGTATAGACTACATTCTTGGTGATTACACTGATCACTGTGGAATTAATGATCAGGTAGGAAATTTAAAACTTGAGTTTAATCTTTAAAACAATAAAACCGTCCGCACTCCATATGTTGTGCAGCTGCAGAGATCGGGATATGTCTCAGTTCCTGTGATTGGCGCTGTCAGCTTCCTGGCGGGCTCGGCACGTGGAGCTGCGCCCACTCCCGCGAACACGCCCGAGCCTATCACTAATCTTTAAACATTGTTTTGATGGCAGCTAACGTAGGAATGAGGACGAGCTCCAGCCGGTGAGCACCTGGATTGCCCCTGCTTGTGTGCTGTGTAGGAGCGGTGCAATCTTTTGAGTGTTTAAGTCTAATCTTGTTATATTTTGCCTCCCCCCTCCCCCCCCCATCAACCCACTGATGAAATTATTAAATATGAAACCTTTCTGCTTTCATGACATACTATATTTGGGACCAAGTAACCTCAGTAACCTCATCACTGAGTCTTTGTGCTTCTCTATGCCATGCAGGCAGATCATGGCTGGTGGGAGGGACTGGCAAGGTGCTGTACTGAAAACAGGAAGTTGTGGTGATGCCCACCATGTGATGCCGAGCCTCCATGATTGAAATCCAATGAATGAAGGGGGTAGGTCAGAAAAAGTAAAGCTGGGGAAGAAAGGGCTAGATGCCGCTGAACGTTGTCCAGCCAGGAAATGGGGCGGGCTCTATCTGACTTGCTGCAGCTTCAAATACACATTGTGAGAAGCTTACAGTTTGCAATGAAATCAGAGAAAGCCATTTCAGTCCAGGAGAGGAGCCGCTACAACTGTGGAAGGCCGGAGGACAGCTTTAATAAAGTGCCCATGGTAGAGAATAAAAATGGGTAAGAAATGCACTTAAAATGTATAATGCATTTTAGTGAATACATCTAGGAATGTAAAAAAAAATAATGTATTAACCAGAGTCTAACGCAGAATGAGCTGACAGCTATTGTATCTTTCCACAATAGTTTTTAGAACAGAAAGCACAGCACATTTGCTTGTTGAGCTTTTATGTCATACATAACTGCAGATAAAAAGAAACTGCTTTACCATACCTGGGAATATACCGTACTTAAAAGTTGAAGGATAATCATTCAGCAGCCTGCAGAGGACCCATTTCACATATTTACAGGGCAGTGCTGCGTTTTCCGCCTCCTTTACTGTGCTGCTGAAGATCAAATACTCTAAAACCTCAATATGTTGAGTTTTGTGATCAGTGTGAGCTCCGTTCACAGCCGGATGCCTCGTCTTTGAAGTCCTGAGCAAACTGTGAGCTAGGAAGTGCATCTGGAAGGCTTGCTGACTTGATCCATCCTTCATTCCTCTGTGAAAAGAAAGATGAGTTGCTGGACAATAAGCAGCTAAAAACAGAGTTATTAGGTCTCATGTAGATGGCTACATTCTGGATGCTCTATGCAGCATTGAGACTGAGATGCTTCTCAGATCATTTTGTGGCCCTTCACACGTGCATGTACACATTGACCTCCTTTTGAGCTGCATCAAGCTGCTTTGGCAGGTTTCATTTGTATGGGGAGAAAAGCAGTTCGGACCTAAACGAAAGTCAAGTATAAATGTGTATGAGATTTTTTGTAAACTTGTCAAAAATCCTCCTTCTTAAAGGAGAACTATGGGGTGGGTGATTTTCACTCAGCCTCATAGTTCAAGCCGACATGTGACAATAAAACTGTCACAGGTCAGCTCTATAGATCGGGAAGTGAGCGAACGCATACTGTCGTTCGCTCACTTTCCGGTCATCTCCCTGCAGAGAGCCGTGACGGTCAGTCACGGCTCCCCACGGGGATTCCCCCCCCCCCCCCCCCCCTGCCCCCCGCGGGGGGCAGGACACG